GCGAAATGCATCCGCTACTGATTCGTCGAGCTAGATTTGCAATTCGCTCAAGTTATGTACGTAATCTACCGCGACATACGCGACCGAAGTGATTCGAAACGACGATAACGCGTGTAGCGATAACGGGTAACACATATGACCAGAGAGCGCGTCCAGGATTTTAAGCCGGAAATTAATTTTAACCGCAATCGGCTCGAGAATCGAGGCTTTGATTACTCACTACTTGTATTACTATCAATTACTTCAAGACGTGTATTTTGCTTTTCATTTGTAATTATATAATTCAGAGATATAAAATGGGGCCTTCGGACACGTGTTAAAAATGTTTCACAGTTTTTCATCCTTATTTGTATATTTAAATGCGCTATCACGTTTTATAATAAGGCGCTTTATTGCGCAAGTAAACATGTGTACGTATTTTAATCTCTGAAACTTTTTAAAGAGTAATCGAGTCGGTGAAAGTTTGCGCGGTGGAGCTTCTTATATACGCGAGTTTTTGAATTGCGATATATGATAAGTCAGCATTTTGCGCAATAACATACCGTACGTATCGCCGATAGATTAAGTCTTTATCAATTAAGTAATATCAGTGACTTCTCTTCAAATTGTTTGTTGCAGATGTAAATCAAGTGGTTCTTAAGTATTGTTGTACTTAACTCTCATCGATTAATATATAGTCGAAGATGTTGCGGGATCGATTTGAAAATGAAATCCCGCGAACTTCCACTTTCATTTCTCGCAACTTTTCTCGCACATTTGCAAAACGCAATAAATTAGATAAAAATCGTCGTCACGCGCCGTTAAAAATATGACAAGTGTGTCACGATATTTTGAATGTCCGCGATTTTCTTTGTCAGCTCGTTGCGCAATCGATACATGCGATTAAAAGTATTTTCATATCGACTCGGCCCTCACACATATTTATCTGGCTCCTATAATCAGCGACTCGTGCATGTTCAAGATAAAGACCCACATGTCTTCGCGATAACTTCGATGCACGGTTTTTTCAATCTCGCCAATTTTATTGAAAGAAACACACGCCCGTACAATTTCACTATTCGTTATTGTATTTTATGAATTAAATATTCGAATAATACAGACGGTGTAGAAATAACAGCAACGAGCAATACCCGTGTATTTTTAAACAAAACTATTGTTTCAATACAAATTTTTGCTGGTATTTGAGATTAAGTATTTTGCAACGAATTTACAGGTATAAATGAAATAAAAGTTGGAATAACACACGAAAAGATTAGAAAAATCAAATATCTTATAATTTCGTTAAATTTCTATAATTGTAGGATTATTGGGCATTATTATATTCCTTTTCGCGAATTTTATATCAAACTGTAAGGTTGGTTTTTAAAATTCGATGTCTAATGTCTGAAATATTCAGCTTAAGATTCGATTTTCAACATATTTAATTTTGAGAGTACGACACAATCGTAGAAATAGTCGTATTTTTAGAATATATTAAAATTTGACAATTGGCAATATTTATCGGAAATAGAATCTGGAATGCACGAGTATTGTAGTCCTTAGGTTTTGTATCATAATAGTTCGACCTTTTACAGCCTTTTCCACGATATTCTCTACCTACCTGACTAGAAGGGAAAATTCTTCACATTGTGTTTAATAAAAAGCGTTTTGCTGTTTTCTAGACTATTCTCTTCTATTATATTTTTCTGTTATGTGAAGATCTTATGCAGGAATTTTGTAAAAGTTGAAGAAAATGTTTTTACTATTTCGAAACGAAATAGTTGCTATATATTTAATAGAAATACCTACGTTTTCAGATTTCGCTTAAACTATAATCAATTAGTAAAATAAGTTTCTTCGGTAAAATAGAACAATCTTGCAGAGTAAATTTGCGTATAAAAATACGCATGGTTTACTCCAAGAATTCCATTTGTTGTTGAAGGAAAATACATTGTTGCAGAAATACAATTGCTTTTTCACGATATGATGATGATGTTAATATTAAAATATAATTTGTGACGAAGTAAACAAAGAGAATTATAGAGAAAGAAAAAGTTCGTTACATTTTAAAATACAGTTTTTAAAATATATATTTGTCAAAGAGAAACATTTTGTAAAAAAAAAGAAGAAAGCTTTACATTCCGAAAATCATTGCTCACCGCTTTTATGAGTTTCAACAAGCAAAAGTGTATGTTATCTTCTAAGTTTCTCTGATTTATGGGAGTAGGATTTTTAAGAATTTACTGTGCAGAAATTTACAAAATTGTAAATGGTAAACATTCAATATTGAGTAGCAAGATATCTTTCGGTATGTACAACTTGTCACTGTTATCGCTGCATCGGAATTGTAATTGCTATAGTCTCTGTTATCGCTGCATTATAATTGTAAGTTACTATCAGATACCGCAGCAAAAGAACTTCTATGTTACATGTAAATACGATTACATAAAAGCGCGGAGTCAATATTTGTGCTTACATACAATGTCTATAGGTTAAATTTCGGATTTAGCCAATAGGCAAGTAACAACTTGTTAGTGTCGGTTATCAGATTTCCTGCACTTGCAATATTTATTTCAACGGGTCTTGGAAAAATTGTTTTCTAAAAATCGCGTAGATACTAATCTGCAATTTTTTAGCCGAACCTACAAGTTTGAGAAGTCCGATAAAATTTCTCGAATTATTGTCAGCAATGCTAACGAAAGAAGTACATAGAAAAATAATGGGAAGATTAGAAATGCCTTCCAGACCGGAACTTTCTCGTCCAATTATGTCAGAAACATTAACTCTAGGGCCTGTTATATGTGTACAGTACGTAGCCAACAATCCAATGTTTCTTCAAAAAGAAATTCTCCCATTGGATCATCGGAATCCTCGTTGTCCGTCGTGTTGTAATACAAGCTTAAAGGAATGTCCTTTTAGGGCGGACAATATAATCCTCACCTTTGTGCCCTTAAGGTCACTTCCGGTGTGAAACATCATACACCTTCATTTCAGTATCGGCGTCCGACTCAAGTTCGTTCGACGTTTTTCGTACTACAAGTATAATCTTTTTTCATAGAACAGGCCAATATGCGGGCCTGTTAATCGCGAATATTTGTTCTGATAGAGTATTATCTACAGTGTGTGTTTGTACAATATTATCTTCGTGTATCTTATACTTTGATTGAAGAGGACTCGAGGAAGAGCGGAAACGATATCTATAACATTATATATATATATCTATACCTAGTGTGTTAGTATTTAGATATTTCTTAAAAGAGCACAAGATGGTTGTTCTCACAAACACGACGTTTCCAAATTTGGTAAGTTTTACATTTAAATTTTAATCCGACACAACTGGCTACAGGAAATTTTCCTTTATTTAAAACACGACGTTTCGGCCATGGGTTTTGGTCCTTTTCAAGTTGTAATACACTTGAAAAGGGCCAAAACCCATGGCCGAAACGTCGTGTTTTAAATAAAGGAAAATTTCCTGTAGCCAGTTGTGTCGGATTATTCAACCTTACTGTTAAATTTTTATATTTAAATCTTAATAATTTAAGGTGAGTAAAAAGTACACAGAGCACTTTGGACATATCATGTTATTATTATTATACGAAAGACTAAAGGTTGTCGTTTATCATTAAGCAAATGCATGACGAGTGTCTTAACGGAATAAGATTATCATATGATTCACTGTGCTATTTTGAAATATCAGAATATCAGAATTCGGTGGTCGAGAAATGTGTTTAGGATGCGCTTATTGTGAATTTGTGTATGGCAAATAAAAAACTTGCAATATTTACATATAACAAGAATAAAGACTTATTGTCGCCAGTACATAATTAACAGTGTAGGAAAATTGATAACCGATACAACTGGCAATTTAAATTAGAGAAAATTTATTGCAAAAGGACATCATCTCAGCCAGGGTTTCAACCTGGACTTTCCTACACTCTAGGCGTCTCACAAATTCCACCACATACTTTAACGTAGGCAAGTCCATTTGATCGGACTTCTCAAACTTGTAGGTTCCACAGCTAAAAAATTGCAGATTAGAATCTACGCAATTTTTAGAAAACAATTTTTCCGAGACCCGTTGAAATAAATATTGCAAGTGTAGGAAAATTGATAACCGACACAGCCAGATTCAAACCCTGGCGGAGCAGATATTTTTTCGCAATAAATTTCCTCTAATTAAAATTGCCAGTTGTGCACCGAGAGACCAATTTTGTCAAATGCAACGAAATAATTTGATTGAATCATTTTGTTGACTGAACATGTAATTTGGTTGTATAAAACGAAAAATATGTTGCCGAAAGAAGTTAAATGTTACAACAACTAAATATTTTGTTTCCATGAGTTGTTTATTTGAACAAAATTTTATGGTTGAGATAAATTCGTCCATCCCAAAGTACGACATTCCGCCACTAGATGGCCGTCAAACTCGTACGTGAGATCACAATAGCCCGGCATATATATTAAATCCGAAGAAATCGTTTTCTTTGTGAACGAAAGAAGTACATAGAAACAATGGGAAGATTAGAAAGATCTACCAGACCGGAACTTTCTTTAATTGTTTCGCAATTAGTGTCGACAAAGGTTTCAATGGAATAAGACAATCGTATGATTCATTATGTTATTTTAAAATACCAAGGCATTGTGTAGTCGAGACATATGTTTAGAATGTGTTTGTTATATGTGAACTTGTGTAGGGCAAATAAAAAAATTACACACTTATGTCGAGGGGAAAATCGTTTCTCGAAAAGTGCATAGGTCTTGGCAATTGTCGAGTTGAAATTCATCGAAGCTACAAGTTTGTTTAAGAAGTTATGTTCCAAATAAAACTCAATTTGCTCTAAGCACTCGCGGCAAAAGCAACTCCAACAATGAGAAAATTAGAAATGCCTGTCAGACCGGAACTTTCTTTAATCGTCTTAGTTTTAATTTGGCTTTGTAAGGCAATGGAAGCTCGCGAGGTTCTCAGGTGAGGAAGTGAGGAAAGGGGGTTCGCGGAGACAGGGTCGCGATGACGAGAGGCCAACATGGTGCGCAGTGAAGTGAAGTCGGGACTGGTGGCGGGAGTTGGAAAAGTAGTGGGAGGCGATTCGACCGGACCGACCCGTTATATTATCTCGCGTTAGTCAGTTAGTCAGTTTCCATTCGCGCCAGTGATTCTACGGTGATCCTGTGATTCTACGACGACGTGAAAAAGTCCTGGCTCGAAACTCCACGTGTTTAGCGGGTGGATCCCGTACCGGGATTTTGAATAAGTTTGCGGGGGGGAAGATTTGTATCGAGAGACTAAGATTGTGGTATTTTCAAAGTGATTCACGTGGATCGAGTCGTGCAGCGAAGTGAAATAGAGTGACATAGGAAGCCGCCTAAGCCGTGCGAACTGGAAATCACGATCGATCGATCGATATTCTTCGACGCAAAGTAGTTAAAAGGTAGTTCGCGTTGTCCAGGATCGACGGATCTTCGACGAGATCGATTGATTGTGAGGTCGATAAACTCGCGGAGACAATTACCTATGTCGCGAGGTGGAATCTCGAGCAGTTAGTTAGCGGCCGCGCGATCTTCCGGGGTGTTTTATCGCAATCGGCGGTGGCAGTGAAAGTAAACCCGGCGTCTCGATCAGCGCTTCAGTGCCTACGAATCCCAGCCGGGTGACCTGTTATCGTTATCGTGAAAGTAATCCGTTCACCTCCCATTCTCGAGGTCGCTCTGTGCCGTATAGAGCTTTTAACAAGTGACAACTGTGAAACGCTCTTTTGGGGATTCGTTCTTTAATTACCGTTTTTGTCCTCCGTTTCTTTTCTTTTCACTGCGAAGATCGAAGACACTTTTGCAGCTGGACGTCAATAATTGGGGGACACACATTCAACGAAAATGACTGTGGTAATGATGAATGTTAGTTCCGAATTTTTTGACATTGTGCTCGTTCAAGGCTTAAGCCTCATTCCTTTGAAAACTGTAGGCAACATTTTTTTCTCGGGTTGGAAATAAAAAAACAGCCGTATTTAACGCTAAACGTAATTCAAATACCAATTATGGTCTACAGAGTTAATAATATGTTAAACTCTAGTTAATAATACTGGAGTCTAATTATTAGAATTTAACAGTTTTACTGAAGTTGAAGAACAGACGCTGTAATTATTCCGAGTTCTACGGCTTGGTCTAATTCATAGTGTAAGGTAGTCGAGTTTCTCTTCGAAGCTAGAAACTACGTGCAGAAGTTCGCGTCCAAAAATACTTGTCTTTTGCCTAAATTTAGAAATTACATGTATATACGTTTAATAATTCAAAGAGGTGAGGATCCAAGCTAAAGATAGAAATTCTATTTAAAAAATGTATAGAAAAATATTCGCGAAATTTTCGATAACTTTAGCACATTATTTTTAACAAAAGTGGAATCATCTATTATTTGTTGCGAACTTTTTCAAGTTTACTATTGAGTATAATGATAATTAAGTTTCGTGCAGGATCTGCAATAAAGGTGGCTTCAGCATTAAGACAAGAGAATTATTCCATTATATTCCGTAATCTTAATTATCAAAAAGTTCTTAATTAATATTTAGGTCCCCATACATTTTTACTGCGGTATTTCATTAATAAGAGAATGGATTAATTAATTGAAAACTGTACTAATCATTTTTTTAATTTGGCAATCCACGTTCCATTTATAATTGTTTACAATTGTTGTCTGTAATTGTTTTATTATGACAAACGCACCGCTAACAATAGAGATTTTAATCCAAACTTAGGCCTTGTACATGCATGTACAAAAACACTAATACTCGAAAGTTATATGGAAATATGGCAGCTAGAAATAATTGATAAAAATCTCGAAGTGATAAGGACTGTCCCAGAAAATAACAGTCAATGTATAACTTTGATAAGGAGAAGCTATACGTGTCGAAGAGATTAAATATTCGTGAAAGTCACGTGGAAAATGAGATAATCTGAAAAAGATAAGAAGCCTCAAGCAACGAATCCTTGACGTTTTTAATCGTTGGACACAAAATGTAGAATTTAAGAAAATATTAAAGATATCACATTGCGTGCTCATTTATAATTAATACAAATTTATATATTTTGACTGATAACACGTTAAATTTACAAACAGACACCGAAAACTTAAATGTAATATACGACTGTGTAATCGAAACTGCATAGTTCGCAATATCACCTTGTATTGTTCCTCACACATGACTAACAAATTAGTTCGAACCCAGCAACCACAGTGCTTACACGTATGCATACATTTTATACAATAACTCGACTCTGTCTTATTCGACGACGATGACTGACTTAGGTGCGTTGCTTAACTTTAGCCGTTTTACTTATTAACTTGCATTATTTCATAATTAGGTTGTTGTTGATTTGCAGTATCGCTCGAAAAGGACCCAAAAGAATAGGGTCGAAACGTTGTGTAATAAACTAATAAAATAACTAGCCAGTTGGGTTGACTATAAGTTTCCCGTCTCAAAAATTTGTATCTAAAAGTTTATATAGAAATTGCTAATCGTCGAAGGACACGGAACAAACACGGCGGGATGGAAAATATTTCGAAAACTTTCTGGGATACTTTGTGTGTTTGCATTACTAAATATCGCGGGAGAATGATAGGAATTTTGTATTGTTACAGGTTATGGAGAGAACAAATACCATCGTTACGTGGCCATCAAGACTGAAGATCGGAGCAAAGTCGAAGAAAGGTAAGGACTCGATGCATTGAAATCATCTGAATGCAATCTGTTATCCGAATTGCTTACTTTAGAAAAGGTTCTATCGTAATGTGTCAATAATAGATAGCACTAGAAGTTTATATTGTTATATTGTGCGTACACATTCTAAGGCACTAAAGGGATTAGGAATTTCGTAGGAGTGTCTAAAACTTCAAGTATGGTAATGCCAACAATCAAATTGAAATCCTTTCTTGCTACGTATACGTATTTGCGCAAGAAAGGTATTATTTGAGCTATTAGTATGATTACAACAACGGCCTGGCATGATGCTTAACAGAATGCATTTAGCTTCATTAACATTAGCGAATGTTTATCTGTGTTCTCTGACAAATGAGGATTCGAGAGCAACGCTCTTTCTAAATTAAACTGATTAATTTGCAACTTCATTTGATACAATAGCATCGTCATCGTCGTGTGACGTCGACAAAATCCATTAAAAATGTTACGTGTGCAAACGCATGCGCGAAATACGTTTAGACGATGATATCCTGTTTTTCATTGAATCCCGAGGTAACGCGAACAGAAATTTCAAGCGAGTTGTATTTTTTAATTAAAAATAATTACATTTGTAACATTATTAATATCGTGCGGAGAAAAGCGGTAATATCTCTCCGAGAAGCAACGTGTTTTCCCTTATCGAGATTCGAAATCTGTTTACAAATATATGTATATTACGAATATAAATATGTATTACGAATTCAAAGGCAACTGAGATTTTCTTCGCGTGACAAACTGAGGATAGCTTGAAGTGAATGCGCAAACGGAAGTTATCGATAGCTCGAAGGCGACGCGGAATTCAGATTCGGTGTGTCGTGTGTCCTTGGAAGATTATACTCGTAGGAGACGCAAAAATCATCTTTCACGATCCTCCGCACGTTCCTCGCATTCGGACTCGTGCGTAATCGTGCGAATACGCGTTGCTCGCGGATTGCGTCAACCGAGTGGTCGGTCGGTCGTGCCTCTTCGTCAGCTGACGCGCGCGTCTTGTACACATCGCTATTTAAAATGTCATTACTGACGCAAGTAAAATCGTACACGAAAGAAAAATAATCCGCATACCTCGCCGAAATTTTGAAATCAATCGGACGTTGAAACTTACAGGGAGATTTTCTATTTAATTGGAATTATAGATTTAGTGTTTTGAAATTTAAATAAAAGCTCCAATTCATGATTTTTGTTATGAGATTTTATAATAACGAGGTGAACACAATTAATAAAATGCACAATGAAACGAAGAACAGTGAGTCTTTACATTTTATGAAATGTCAATTTTCGATCATGAAACATAATTTGATAATTCGCGCATTTTTGATGAGTCGCTAAAAATGATCGTGATTCAAGAGATATAAATAATAAAACATTCAAAAAGATTGCATAAATAATAAAAATTTTGAAAAATTGCACGTATGCGTAAAAAAATTCGTATAAAAATGACCGCGTAAAAAGTCGAGGATTCTAGACAGATCTTCCAAGATTGATTACTCATCTACGCATGTTTCACGTCGATTGCGGGATTATTTCGTCACCTGTTTCTCGATAAAGAAGTTACGACGCGGGGATCGATCCCGTTCCCGTTCGTTCGCTTGATGCGACGTCGTCGCCTCGTACGATCGGACCTTGTGGAAATTTTTCGGTGATTCATCCCTCCCTCGTGACCTAAACAGCTGTTGCATCTGTCTCTTCTCTCTCTCTTTCTCCCTGTCACTTTTTTTTCCTTTATTTTACGAATCTGATCACGCGTGGTGGCCTATGTAATCTGGTATAAATAAACTCCAGGTATCTTGCTCGGACGCTAGATTAGCCTAAGACTGTATGTGTTATCTCACAAACACAAACACACGGAGGAAACACACGCGCGCGATGCAAGTGCATGATACGGATTATTGTGAGCCATTCACGAGTTTCGTTCAAATCATTACAGTAATTTCTCGTGTGCAATCGCGGAAACGTCGACGACCACCAAACGATAACGCAAGAGTCTAAATTCCATAGAAATTCACTTGCGAAATATTTACGGATCCATTTGATTCATTTCTTCTTTTGAGCTACACGGAACGTGCTGTAAAATGATTGCTATTATAATATATGTGAGGACTCCAGTTGACTTGAAGCGAAGTATTTTATTCAAATTTTGTTCGGCATAAAACTAATTGATTAGATTCCTTGACGCGTATTTATTCTTCGAATAAATTAGACACAAAATAATGGTGTTTTGAATCATCATTTATACGCGCGTCACGGACGTGTAAAATAAGAAAGTTTCCTCTTTAATTATTCTGCTCCTTTGCTAAGTTAGCACGTAAATTTTGTTAAGATAAAACTTCAATTAACGACTTTAACATCGAAAGATAATCCAATCAAATTATTTACGAATAGTTTCACAAATTGGTCGAAAAATCTTTAATTGAACAAAAATGTTGCAAATGCTCTACGAACTTGTGTCCGTTTGAATTTGCAGTTTATAAGAAAATTGAATGGCAATGAGTTCTCTCGCATATGTAATACTTCCATTAAACGATTTTAATATCGAAAGATAATCCAATCAATTTATTTCCGAATAGTTTCACAAATTGGTCGAAAAATCTTTAATTGAAAAAAAAATGTTGCAAATGCTCTGCGAACTTGTGTCCGTTTGAATTTGCAGTTTATAAGAAAATTGAATGGCAATGAGTGTCCTCGCAGATGTAATACTTGATATGGAATTTACATTCGATGCAGCGAATGGGTCAAATTGACTCACATCATGCGCTCTTCAGGGTTAATAGATATTATCGAGTTATCTCCCCCGTGTCGTGATAGGATATCACCTTGCGATTTGACCCGCTCTCGAAGCCGTTGTTATGAATTTTGCGCAGCGAGATCAACGGGATTCTAGTCCAGACTAACCAGCCGGATAATTGTCTGTGATCGAATTAAGCGTCAATCAGTATCATGTAGCCGCTCTAATTCTTCGCCGCGTGAAGATGCCGATGTGCCGCGAGTCACGTAAGCCACGCTACTCGTCGAGTGATAAGACTACACGTAGCTTTTTCTCTCACGAGGATGTCTGTGACCACACGAGCAAGAACAACTGTTACACAATGTCTATGTCTGGATTCAGTCGTGTCTTCTATAAATGCAAACGAGCCAATGCGTGCGGTGTATAATCGGTAAAATTAAAAAAAAAATTCTTTCACGATGAAATCAACAGAAGAAGGGGCTGCAGATAAAAATTACAAATTTAAATGAATACATTTTGCAAAAAAAAAGTTACGAATAAAATAGGCGAGGAGATAATAACGCGATTGTTCCGAAATTGGAGCTGTAGTTGTTTCTCAATAAATTGCCCGCTTTCTGTTTGCCCGTCGCATCACAGTTATACTTGTTAGTCAACAGATATTGGACGGTGCGTGTTTGCAAAGTAAACAAGAAAATTCGAAAAGCAGATATCGCGTGACTTCGCAGTACTGCCGCTTCATCAAATTATCTAACTAGTTTTATTTCCGACCGAGATCGAGGACAGTTTTATAGGATTATCGTAAGATCGATCGGGGAAGTTTTATTTAAATTCATTACAACTTTATTAGAGCGCAAGTTCTTGCGAACAGGACGGACGAACGGGAAAATATAAAATGATAGTAGTGCGAATTCTAAAATTATCCTTTTTTTTTTAACAACGTCAGTGTTTGCTTGACCATACCTGGCGCTTTTAATAATACAGAAAATTTAATGCGAAAAATATTACCTCAGCCAGGGTTTGAACCTGAACCACCCTACACTCTAGGCGGGCGTCTCACCAATTCGACCACCGAGGCACATGATAATATTTGTCGCAATAACAATATAAAGATGTTGTCTACGCGTCTATTTCGACCTTTTTACGATCGTTTACGGCCGACAACCCTTATCGGCGCGCAGTTTAAGAAAGTCGAAATGGACAACTTTATACTGTTATTGCGATAAATGTTATCATATGCCTCGGTGGTCGAATTGGTGAGACGCCCGCCTAGAGTGTAGGGAGGTCCAGGTTTAAACCCTGGCTTAGGTAATATTTTTCGCAATAAATTTTCTGTATTATTAAAAACGCCAGGTATGGTCAAGAAAACACTGACGTTGTTAAGGGGATGCTGGAGTGATTCTGCACTTTTGCACCTTTCTAACCTAAAAACTGTCAGTTCGCGGAAACATTGGTGTAATATACAAATTAAATGGCTTACGTGTACAGATCGAAAGCAGCTCGCTATTCCGGCCAAATGAAAGAACAATATGGCATCACTGAAACTAAGTTTGTAAGTCTAATAAGAAATAAT